ATTTTAACACCCTTTTGGCAATGTTGGATAGATCTTCCAAGAAGAAACTAAACAAAGAAATGATGGACTTAAACTTGACCCTAGAACAAATGGAATTAGCAGACATCTATGGAACATTTCATCTTAATAAAACTGAATACACATTCTTCTCATCAGCCCATTGATCATCCTCCAAAACTGATCACATGTTAGTATATGAATCTAACCTCAACCAATTTAAAAGAATAGAAATTTTTCTTTGTATCTTCTCAGACCATCACAGAATAAAAGTTGAACTCAACAGCCACAGGAATCTTCATACTAAAACAAAGTGATGTAAACTAAGTAACCTTATGCTGAATCATCACTGGGTCAAAGACAAGATGAAGAATGAAATCACCAAATTTTTTGAACATAATGAAAATAAATACATGAATGATCAAAACCTGTGGGATACTGGAAAGGAAGTCCGAAGAGGGAAATTTACAGCATTGGTAGTCTTCATAAAGAAAATGGAAAAAGAGTAGTCAGCAACTTAATAGGTCATCTCAAGCAATTGAAATGGAAGAACATTCCAACTCAAATACAGCAGAAGAAAATAAATAACTAAAATTAGAGAAGAATTAAATGAAATTGAAAATAAAAAAATTATTCAGAAGATCAATGAAAAAAGTTGTTTTTTTAAAAGATTAACAAAATTCACATGAACCATAGGCGTGATCCCACCAATCACCCTCCCTCCACCCACCACTTGGATGAAAGTATTTCAAATTGTATACAGAAACAGTACACTGTACCCCATGATAGTATTAATGCACACTGCTATGATTTAATTAAAAAATTAACAAAATTGATAAAACTTTGGATACCCTAACCAAAAACAGAAAAGTAAAATCTCGAATATCATCAATAAGAAATGATAAAGGAAAAATAACAACAGACACTCCTGAAATTTAAAAAAATCCTCAATGATTACTACAAAAACTCTATTCTCAGAAATATAAAAATCTGGATGAAATGTACCAATGCATGGAAACATGCCACCTTACTTGACTGAACCAGAAAGAATTAGAAATTTTGAATAGACCCATATCCAGCACCGAAATATCATCAAATATACAAAATCTCCCCAAAAAGAAAAGTCTGGGTCCATATGGCTTCACATCAGAATTCTACCAAACCTTCCCTGAGGAACGAGTACCTATATTATACATTTTCCAAAACACAGAAAAGGAAGGAATCCTCCCCAACACATTCTATGAAGCAAATATTACCTCAATACCCAAACCAGGAAAAGACCAAACAAAGAAAGAACACTATAAACCACTATCATTAATGAATAGTGGTTCATCCATGCAAAAATATTCAATAAGATAGATCCTAGCAAACAGAATTTAACAATACATCAAAAAAATTATATATTGTGATCAAGTTGGTTTTATCCCAGAGTTACAAGGTTGGTTCAACATACACAAATCTATAAATGTAATTCATTACATAAACAAATTTAAAAACAAAGACCACAGGATTCTCTCAATTGATGCAGAAAAAGTTTTTGATAATATGCAGCATCCTTTCATGATCAGAACACTTAAGAAAATTGGTATAGAAGGGACATTTCTTAAATTGGTAGAGGCCATCTACAGCAAACCCACGGCCAATATCATATTGAATGGAGTAAAATTGAAAACATTTTCACTCAGAGCTGGAAATAGACAAGGATTCCCATTGTCTCCACAGCTATTCAACATGTAATGGAAGTCCTAGCCATTGCAATCAGACATGAGAAGGTAATCAAGGGTATCCAAATAGGGTCAGAAGAGATCACACTCTCATTGTTAGTGGATGACATGATCTTATGCCTGAAAAACCCCAGGGACTCAACTACAAAACTCTTAGAATTGATAAAGGAATACAGCAGCATCTCAGCATACAAATACAAAATCAATACTTACAAATAACTAGCTTTTATATATACCAACAATAGTCAAACTGAAAGTAGTGCCAAAGAAGATGAAATATTTGGGAAATTACCTAACAAAAGACATGAAATATCTCTATTAAAAAATAATGAAACTCTGAGAAAAGAAATAGCTGAAGATGTTAACAAACTGAAGAACATACTATGGTCATGACTGGGAATAATCAACATTGTTAAAATGTCCATATTACCCAAATAAATCTACATATTTTATGCAAGCCCTATTAGGGCACCAATATCATACTTTAAAGATCTTGAAAAAATAGTACTTTGTTTTATAGGGAATCATAAAAAACTCGAATAGCCAAGATATTACTCAGAAATAAAAACGAATCATAAGGTATCATGTTACCAGACTTCAGGCTATCCTATAAATCTATAGTGATCAAAACAGCTTGGTACTGGCACAAAAATAGAGGTAGATGTATGGAACAGAATAGAAAACCAAGAGATGAACCCAGCCACTTATCGTATTTTGATCTTTGATAAGCCTATCAAAAGCATTCACTGGGGGGAAAGATTCCTATTTAATAAATGGGGCTGGGTGAACTGGCTAGTGACCTGTAGAAGACTGGAACCGGACCACCACATTAACAAAAATTGATTCTCACTTGTTAATAGATATACACTTAAGACATGAAACTATAAATAATATTAGAAGAGAGTGCAGGGGAAATGCTTGAAAAAATTGGCCTGGAAAATATTTTATGAAGAGGACTCCCTGGCAATTGAAGGAACACCAAAATTATATTACTAGGATCTGCTCAAACTAAAAATCTCCTCACAGCAAAGAGCACAGTAGGTAAAGCAAACAGACAACCTTCAGAATGGGAGAAGACATTTGCAGGTTGTATTTCCAACTAAGGTCTAATAACTAGAATCCACAGAGAACTCAAACTAATCAATAAGAAAAGAACAAACAACCCCATTTCTTTTTGGGCAAGAGACTTGAACAGAAAGAAACTTCTCTGAAGATGACAGGTGAATGGCCACCAAACATATTTAAAAATGCTCACCATCTTAATCATCAGTGAAATGCAAATAAAAACCACTTTGAGATATCATCTAACTCCAGTAAGATTAGCCCACATCACAAGATCCCCAAACTGCAGATGTTGGCTTGGATGTGGAGAGAATGGAACACTTCTATACTCCTGGTGGGAATGCAAGCTAATATGGCCCTTTTGTTTTTGTTTTTGTCTTTTTTTTTTTTTTTTGAGACACAGTCTCACTTTGTCACCCTCAGTGGAGTGCCATGGTATCATAGCTCCCAGTAACCTCAAACTCTTGGGCTTAAGCAATTGTGTTGCTTCAGATTCCCAAGTAGCTGGGACTATAGGTGCCTTCCACATGCCTGGCTCTTTTTGTTGTTGTTGTTGTTGTTGTTTAGAGACAGGGTGTCACTCTGTTTCAGGCTGGTCTCAAACCTGTGAGCTCAGGCAATCCACCTGCTTCAGACACCCAGAGTGTTAGTATTACAAGTGTGAGCCACCTTGCCCAGCCTAATATGTCCTGCAACTGAAGCTTGGAGAATACTCAAGGGACTAAAAGTAGACCTACCATTCTATCCTGCAATTCCTCTACTAGGTATATACCCAGATAATCAAAAATCATTTTACAACAAAGACATTTACACCAGAATATTTATTGTAGCCCAATTCACAATTGCCAAGTCGTAGAAACAGTCCAAGTGCCCATCAACCCATGAATGGATTAACAAATTGTGGTATATGTATACCATGGAATACTATGCAGTCATAAAAAAGGATGGAGACTTTACATCTTTTGTGTTTACATGAATGAAGATTGAACATACTCTTTCTAGTTAAGTATCTCAAGAATAGAAAAAAAGTCTGCAGTGTACTCATTACTATTATGAAACCAATATATAATCTACATATATCATTCATATAAATGATAAAACACAACTATAGTCCAGATAGAAGGAGGGAAGAAGAAGGAGAGAGGAGTGAAAGGGGGATGGCGGAGGGGGTACTTGGTGGGACCTTACCTATTGTGCACAATTCAATGGCACATTTCAAAACTATTAAGAGTAGAGTACATAATGTCTTACCACAACAAATAAGTTATGTTAATCATTTTGATGTAGGCCTTCCACATGGTATACCAAATCAGCACAGTGTACCTTATACATGTACACAGTTATGATTTAATTTAAAAAAGTGATCTTTAAGGTAGTTTTAGATTTGTGGTAGAAGAGACTTTTTAAACAGCATTAAAAAGAATGTTTTTCTGTGAAAAAAAAGAAAGAAAGCGGGGGGGAGAGAGAAAGGGAGATAAAAATATAGAGAGAGGAAGAAGGAAGGAAAGAAGGAAGGAAGGGAGGGAGGGAGGGAGGAGAGAGAGAAGGGAAGGGAAGGGAAGGGAAGGGAAGGGAAGGGAAGGGAAGGGAAGGGAAGGGAAGGGAAGGGAAGGGCCATGGAATGGGATATAAATTTGAAGGAAAATAAAAGTCCTCATTTAACCTCCTCTATAGGTTCTTGGTAACTGCCTCTTCAAGCATTTTAAGCAATATGTTGAATTCAGTCACAATGTTTAAAATGAACAAAAGATGCCAGAATACTCACTCATTTCAATTAAAGACAAGAAAGGAAGAAACATTCATATGAATATAAAACATGGAGAGGAATGAAATCCATCAAGCAAAAAAAGTGGGGAACAAAGGGGCAAAATTTGCTGATCTCTGTGTTTCTGTTTCATGTCTTTTAGGCTTCATACTATAAAAATAATGGAATATAAAATGAAATTACACAATTCATCTGTGCAGTCTCCACAGAGCACTTTTAATATCTGTGTTTCTCAGACTGTAGATTAAGGGATTCAGCATAGGGGTGACCACAGTGTACAAAACTGAGGTCACTGAACCCTTCCTGGAGGAGGATGACACAGCTGAATTGATGTACACTCCAAGGCCCGTCCCATAAAATAAACAAACAACTGACAGGTGAGACCCACAGGTGGAGAAGGCTTTATACTTCCCACCTGCTGTTGAGACTCTCAGAATGGAAGAAACAATTTTTTAGTAAGAGAACAGGATCCCTGAGAGAGGAAGAAAACCAAATATGGCACCAACTAAATACATGATGATATTATTGATGAAGGTGTCAGAACAAGTGAGCTTGAAGAGTTCAGGAGGGTCACAGAAGAAATTAGGAATTTTTGCATCCCTGAAGCAGGTGAGTTGTAGTACAGTCAAATTGTGCAGCTGTGAATCCAAAAGGCTAAGAAGAAAAGACACCAAAACTAAGAAGCCACAGAGGCGAGGGTTCATGATGACCTGGTAGTGCAGGGGGTGACAGATGGCCACAAACCGGTCATAGGCCATCATGATCAGAAGCATATCATCCATACAAACAAAAAGCACAAAAAGAGACATCTGTGTCAGGCAGCCCCCGTAGGAGATGACTCGGTTGTGAGTCATGATGTCCACAATCATCTTGGGGATTGTGGTGGAGATGACACAGATGTCAGCCAAGGACATGGTGGAGAGGAAGCAGTACATGGGGGTGTGGAGGTGGGAGTCAGAGCAGACGGCCAGGAGGATGAGCAGGTTCCCAAGCACTGTGACCAGGTACATGAACAGGAAAACCCCATAGAGAAGGGGCTGCAGTTTGAGATCTTCTGAGAAGCCCAAGAGGAGAAATTCTGATACTTCTGTGTGGTTTTCTGCTTCCATGTAGTTGGTGTGTCTGCTGGAGCAGGAAGGAAAGGCAACATTTAATGAACAGCCAACTGGCACCTCGACTGCTTATTATTACTCTCTACAACACCAGCCTTGAATGATTGCCTTCACCCTCTATAGAGTCCTTTCTAACACTGTGATTCACTCAGTTAAGAGCCCAGGTCCATTTAAAATGTAGTTATTCATATTTTCTTTAATTTATCATAAAGTTATCTTTCTGTTTATCATCCAGTCATTAGTTTTTATTCTCCTATTTATAGCTATGAATTAATCAATGTCTTTTTTCATATGAGACTTCCAAGGGGACATGTCTTTTCTTAATAATCTCTGTATTCCTTCACTATAATAAGTCTACAATAATAATTAAGATGTGGATTTTCAACAACCTTTATTCTGTGAACTGTTGCTTTGTTAATTCTTATTGCCTTATTTAATTCTTTTTTTTTTTTTTTTTTTTTAGTTTTTGGCCAGGGCCAGGTTTGAACCTGCCACCTCTAGTATATGGGGCCAGAGCCCTACTCCTTGAGCCACAGAAGCTGCCTGCCTTATTTAATTCTTTCTAAAAATGTGATTATTACTATTACTTTTTGAGGTTTTAAAAGTGCCGTTGTGGGCTTGGCACCTGTAGCTCAGTCCATAGGGTGCCAGCCACATACACTTGGACTGGCAGGTTCAAACCCAGCCCAGGTCCACTAAACAATAATGAAAACAACAACAACAACAAAAAATAGCCAGGCATTGTGGCAGGTGCCTGTAGTCCCAGCTCCTTGGGAGGCTGAGGCAAGAGAATCACTTGAGCCCAAGAGTTTGAAGTTGCTGTGAGCTATGACGCCACATCACTCTACCAAGGGTGACATAGTGAGACTCTGTCTCAAAAAAATAATTGTTAGTTATCTTAGGAATGCTACAATCCAAATGGAGCCCTAGACTATGGGGAAAGGGGAGGAGAGGGAGGATGGGTGAAGAGAATGATATTGTGGGGAACACGTCTATAATTTATCCTATTTGGGTACATGTGAATTTGTCTAAAGGTTGAATATAAATGTCTTAACATAACAATTATGAGAAAGACATGATGGCTATGTTAGCCAGTTGGACGAGAGTTTTCCAAACTGCATATAAAAGCAACACACTATATCCTATGAGAGAATTAATGTACACAATTATGATCTAATAAAAAACAAATATAAAATTTAAAAAAAGTGCTATTATGCACAGTAGAAGTATCCACTAATCATAGTTGTCATTATTACCACTACTATTAGTTTAAATATCATTAATATTTTATTTTTATAGTAATTATTTCAGATATATAACTCTCCCAAGATATATGATGGAGCAAATACTTTAGAAAATATTTTGCTGCATCATATTTCCCATAAAAGGATTTTGATCCACCAGCTTACTATTATTTGACCTTGAAAAAGTTACTTAAGCTCTCTTAGGTGCAGATAACTTGCCTTTACAGCAGGACTACTTTTATTCCTTGCATGGCAGAAGTTCAGGGTAAAGTAAATGAGTTGATGTATGTCAGTTTTTGCTTTGGTTCCCATATCATACAATGGACATTTCATAAATGGGAACCTCTTTTAGTAGCATCACAATAAATCTGTCTTGTGAGGCTGTCACTTATCAATAATACCCCCCCTTAAACTGAGGGAACCATCAAAGATAGGATTCTAATCTTTATGAATATAAAAGTTATGTTACCTCTCTGAGAACAATATAGCTCTTCCTTTCAGAAATTGCCTGCCAGGTGAATTCATCCAAGGAGAGAAAACACCTTGTGTACTGTACACATAAAAGAAAGAAACAAAAACGCAGAATCATTAGGTAGAAGGAATGTGTGAAATTGTGTGTTCTTGAGTATATGCTTTCAAGTAGGTACGTATTGTATCAAAATCGACAGCGTTAAATGCCAAGAAAATAGAAACAATACATTTTTTAAAAATTTTAAAATTCTACAAAACAAAACATCATAAAAGAGTAAATGGAAAATTTGAGGTTTTAAAAAAAAGTTTTCATTCGCCATGACAGAAAAAGAGTTCTTAGTATTAATGCTTATAGAATATTAACTTTTTTTTCTTGTGACAGCTCTCTCAGTCTCCTCGGCTAGAATGTAGGGTGACTTCACAGCTTACTGAAAACTCAGACTCCTGGTCTCAAGCAATCCTCCTGCCTCAGCCTCTTGAGTAGCTGGGCCTAAAGTGAACACCACCATATCTGGCTATTTTTTTCTGTTTTTTTGTTTGTTTGTTTGTTTGTTTTGCTTTTTGTAGAAACAGGATCTTGCTCTTGGTTAGGCTGTTTTTAAACTTCTGGTGTCCAATAATCCTCTAGCCTCAGCCTTCCAGAGTGCTAGGATCACAGGTGTGAGCCACTGTGCTCAGCCAGAATGTTAATTAAGAGAGAAAAATAAATCATCAAGTGATTTATTTTTCCAAGTTAGCTCCAGCACGTGAATAGATGAGGTTTCTCTGAAATAAGAATACTGGAGCTAAAAGAAAGATGAGTCACTGTTAATTAAGAGATGTAAGGAAAGAGCAAACCTTCAGGATGAAGGAACAGAACTGTGTTTGCCATGTATGTCACTGAGCTTGTGAAGCAGGGATGTGAGAGGTCAGTAAGATGGAGAGCAGAGAATGTGGGCTGAGCGGGGGCAATCTGAGGACCATCACTAGAGCATCCTGCATCTTCCTGATGCTCCTCATGAATTTGGGCTCTTTTTTTGCCCTAGGGACTTGCATGGTACCTGACACATTGGGGGTACTGAACAAGTACAGATGTGAGATGAACAAAAACAATTAAGACCAAAATGTCAACCACAAAACACAACATAAATATTCATGCCTATCACATGTCTAAATACAGAATAAAAATTCAATAGGGGGGGGGGATGCCTGTGGCTCAAAGGAATAGGGTGCCAGCCCCCTATGCCGAAGGTGGAAGATTCAAGTCCAGCCCCACCCAAAAACCTCAAAAAAATTTCAATAATAAAGTTAAATAAAATTAATTTGTATCTATTCTTAAATAATAATACCTGATGAACAAGTAATATCACTTTGAGGAATGGAAGTAGTTTTAATATAAGAATGTTTGTTTATATAATTTATCACAAAATATAGGTCAATGAACACAAATTACAACCATAATCACAATGGAAAAAAATGTATTTGAGAATTTTTTTTTCTTTTTTTTTTATTGAATGGTAACTGTGTACATTGATGCACTTTGGGGGTACAATGTGATGTTTTCACACACAATCCAAGACATTTCCATCAAACTGGTTAACATAGCCTTCATGTAACTTTCTTAGTTATTATGTCAAAACATTCATATTCTACTCATATAAAGATTCACTTGTACCCTTGCAAGATGAACCACAGAAGTGAACCCTCAAATCCCTCTCCCTCCACCCTCTCCCCCCTTCCTCCCCCTTCCCCATATCCTTAGGTTGTTATTAGGTTATAGCTTTCATATAAAAAGGTTTAAATTAATTGCATAATAGGTGTGTGTACATTGGATACTTTTTCTTCCATTCCTGTGATACTTTGCTCAGAAGAACATTCTCCAGCTCCATCCATGTGAACATGAAGGATGTAAAGTCTCCATCCTTCTTAATGGCTGCATAGTATTCCATGGTGTACATATACCACAGTTTGTTGATCCATTCATGGATCGATGGGCACTTGGGCTTCTTCCATGACCTGGCAATTATGAATTGGGCTGCAATAAACATTCTGATACAAATATCTTTGTTGTAATGCGATTTTTGGTTGTCTGGGAATATACCTAATAAAGGAATTGCAGGGTCAAATAGCAGGTCTATTTTTAGTTCTCTAAGTGTTCTCCAGATGTATTTCCAAAAGGAACGTACTAGTTTACATTCCCACCAGCAGTGCAGGAGTATTCCCTTTTCTCCACATCCACACCAGCATCTCTAGTTTGAGAATTTTTATCAAGAATTACTGGAGTTAGCATCTGGGGCAGAGCTCCTGGACAAACAAAGAAGCCCATAACCCAATAAACAAGGTTGTTTTAAAACTGCAGCCAACAGTATATGCTACATTAAAACATTGAACTATCTGCGTTAAATCCATGAGCATGCCAAGTCCATCTACCCCATTTCAATCATGTAATATTTTTCTGAACATTCAAAGGGATTCGTAGGAAAAGGAAACTGCACTAAGTGTTAAACATGGAAATAATCAGTCTATGATACTGTCGATCCTATGGTGAAGCAATGACTGCAATGTGGTAACAACAGGAAATATAAAGAAGCCAGTAAAACAGTTAGAAAGTATAATAGAGAAGGTCAGTCACATCAGGAACAAACAGACAATATCCTGTGAATAACAGACCTCTGGTAAGTACTTAATGAATAGATAAGTGAGTGCAAGAAATCTAACCAGCACCTACAATGTTAGAGGTGCTTCAGAAAACAATTCTTATTGCAGAGAGGACCTGGATTCCAAAAATCAAGAAAAGGAAATAGAACAAAAGCTGGAAAAGATCCGTTTTAGGAAAAAATTAAGTATCATCAACGTAGAGAGACTTCACCTCCATAGACTAAACTACTATGGGACTGGTCCAGTCTTGTTATTCCAGAAGTAAATCCAATACCCACCTCCTTGTCTCCCGTCCTTCTTATTCCACCAGTCCTCACTGGTTCACACCAGCTTCCTCCAACAGTTGCCACTAAAGTTTTCTGTTCTTCATGATCTGTCCCTATGGAGTCCACTAGGGTTTTGACACACACTGGGATCAGAGAATTGCAGGGGGAAAGGGAGCATGTTTAAAATTTCTAGTGTCTCAAGGGTTGAATTCTCAGAGTGCCTCATTAAATAAATTGTTCTACTTTCTTTCAACTCTCCAAACAATTCAGCTCTTTGAGGTGATAAGGAAGACAGCAGATGGAAAGTTCTCAGTCAGTTTTAAGTCTAAGTGGACAGCGAGGATGATGGTGCCAGGAGGAGTTGGATTTAATTCCTCCAAAGAAAAATATTTCTTTTCCTTTGGTTTGATTTAAAATCTACAAAGTTTCCCCTAAGAAATAGTTAATTTATATTGAATTATATATGGAACAAATCTAAGAAATCATCCCTCTGAGGTGCCTCCCTTGAAAAATCTTTCAGACTATGGCGGTTGGAGGAATGGCGGTGATCACACGTCGTCTGCTGGGAAGAACTGGATTCTCGTTTCAGGTCACCGTCAGAAAAGCTAAGTTTGCTCTACAGTAGGGATCAGGAGATCTGATCCTGATTGCAGAACCATCCCTAATTACAGAATCTTGGGTTGTGTCTCCCACTTCATCCTTCCAGACCATCCCAGAAGACCTGTAAGATTCCATCTGGGAAATCACTAGCAGTTCTTAGAAGGGAAAGAAGGAGGATTGTTGGTTGGAATAAAAACAGGGTTGAATGAGTTCCAGAAAGCAGGGTTCTCAAACTCGTGGACAACAATCTGCAGAAGAAGACAACTTCGAAAAGCCAACTAGAAGCAACATGCAGAGAAGTTAGATGAGAGGGGCTTCCTCCGGAAAGAAGACAGATGCTCCGCAGCAGAAAAATCTTGAGCCAGCTCTCCCAGGAAGATGGGGGGGTCCCTCTGCAGAGACCCCCCCCCTTCAGGATCTGCGAGGAAGACAAGAAAGAACAAGCAGAAGACTCCTGGAAATGGAGATGGTGGCAGTACCAGCGAAGCACCTCAGCCTCCACGGAAGAAAAGGGCCCGGGCAGATCCAACTGTCGAAAGTGAGGAGGCATTTAAGAATAGAATGGAAGTTAAAGTGAAGTTTCCTGAAGAATTAAAACCATGGCTTGTCGAAGACTGGGACTTAGTTACCAGGCAGAAGCAGCTTTTCCAACTTCCTGCAAAGAAGAACGTGGATGCGGTTCTTGAAGAGTATGCTAATTGTAAGTGGTCGCAGGGCAATGTTGATAATAAGGAATATGCAGTTAACGAAGTAGTGGGAGGAATAAAAGAATACTTCAATGTGATGTTGGGCACTCAGCTGCTCTACAAGTTTGAGAGGCCCCAGTATGCTGAAATTCTCTTGGCTCACCCTGATGCACCAATGTCCCAGGTTTATGGAGTGCCACATCTACTGAGATTATTTGTAAGAATCGGAGCAATGTTGGCCTATACGCCTCTTGATGAGAAAAGCCTTGCATTGTTGTTGGGCTATTTGCATGATTTCCTAAAATATCTGGCAAAGAATTCTGCATCTCTGTTTACTGCCAGTGATTACAAAGTGGCTTCTGCTGAGTACCAC